CTTTTCAGCTGTGCCCATTCTCTCCACGCTTTTAGTATTCCCTAGTAATTTTCCTTTAGTGGTGGTTCCTCTCTGATCAGCCAGACTGTGATGGTTATGTGGGTGTGGAGGCAGCAGGTAGCAATAACCTGGCAGATCAGGTGGCCATCAAGGAAGTCTGGCCACACGATCCAGGTAACGGGAGTACAACAACTCCCGAAACCAGTGGCAGGTATGTCACAGGTATGCCATGCTGCCCTCCGTACTACGCACTTGTTGAACCCGTCTTCCATTATTGCCAGAATGAACAGGTCTTGGTACTGGTTTCAACAAGTGGTGTCAACACTACACTTGGAAACACTAGTGTTTTCTTTATTTACAAATAACATGGCTTGCTCTGGGTACACTGTATTAGTAACAGTGTTGTGTTGTGTCATGTATTACATTGTCAACACTTGTAAATTGGTGAATAAATCTGATAAATGCATAAAAGGCCTGTGGTTTATTCGAATCATATTGCATCAGTTTTAAAACAATAATTCTTGTCCAAGTCAGTGATCATCTCTACAAAAAGCGTGACAATAGAGTTGCTGGATGAATTCAAAACTATGAATGCCAAACGTTTAGTCGAGCAGTGAAGGTCAGGTAATACCTGCACCTAAAAGTATTTGCATTGTTATTAGTATTATTGCAATCGAAACTAAGCCCTAAACCCACTAGGGTAATACAGCGCTGCAAAAAGTATGTGTAAGACTTTAGATTGGAACCTATGGTCTCCGACAACGAAGATGTGATTGTCTGCACTCGGCTTTGTTGCAAGGTTAAAAGTATTTGGAATATATTTCGGGATCAAAGAAGAGATAGCTGTGTATAATATATACGTGAAAGATACTTGAGGACCTGGTTCCAAATCTACACACTACAATAACAACGTACTGGAGTGAGAGGTATGGTAAGCAGTGTAAAATAGACCCAGTGAGAAGAGAAGCAGGAGCACCACGGGCACAATAAGAGAACTCTGAGTTAACATCTGTGGACCAAGGCTGTTCAACCTGCTACTAGCAGATACCAGAAATATTGCCGGAGCAAGTGTAGAAGTTTTCACGGTTAAACCGGATTAATACCTCAGCCAAGTGTCAGATCAACCAGGCTGTGATGTCTGTGTGGGTCCAGCGGACCCTGAACAGCAACAGCCTGGTTGAACAGGCACTCAACAGAAATGCCTGTTCCCAGGCCGGGCTGCTAGGGTTTAAAAAGAACTATTGAAATTGGTCACAAGTACAGATAAATATTCGTGGTGACTGTTACTTCACACCTTCCTCATCCCAGCAGAAGAGACCGTGTGACACGGCGTAACATCACTTCTCTTATGTTCTATAGAGATTTTCTGATTTTTTTTTGTCACAGGTACTGTACAGGAACATTCCTCGGAAAGAGTACTTTTCCTGCAATATCTGAATACTTTGTTAATGGTGTTGAATGTGTCAAGTTAGGATAGCTGTAGAAAGGTAGAAATAGGTGAGAGGGTGGTGGCCAGGAGCAGTTAACTTGATATCTGGCGGGCTGGTGCAGCAACTCACACGGAGGAAAACTGTCTAAATTGTGTGTAAAGGATGATAAACACACTCTTAACTGTGGCAGCCTTTTAAAAATATGCCTGATATAGTGCGATGAAATGATAATTTATTAACGAACATACATGTGACCAGTTTGATGGTCGCAGTTAGTGGCCCGCTGGTTCACATGGATGAGCTGGCACTTGGCGGAGGTAGTGATTCAGTTTTTCACTTGAAGGCCTACACTTGTTTCGGTAATATTTCTTTTATCTATTAGCTAGTTGAAGAGTCTTGGGTCACAAATATTAACTCTGTTTTCATATTGTGCTTATTGACGCCTCGTCCTTTTGTTGGGTTTATTTTACACTTAATTCCATATCAGTCACTCCAGTGAGTTGTTTTCGTCATGTGGAGATTTAGGATTTGGCCCCATGTATATATAATATAACAATAACCCAATAACTCCTTTTATGTACACTCACAGTATGAGTCCTTGAGCTACCCATGTTGTCTACCATGGCTACCTCGAAGTGCTTACACTTAAAATTTCTGTCACAACTAACATTTATTTCAGGGTTTGTAATGAAGCTGCCGCATGCACGTACGCATGCAAGCGCATGTAAAATTATCCCTATATAATGTGTAATCAAAAGTAAACGAAGACTACGGTTAAAGTTGTCAGCAGCTGTAAGACCCAGAACACTGAGCATCCCCGCCACTTGACTGCGTATAAACGACAAATATGCGATTAAGTTTGTCCCAAGCGAAACCTTTTCTCTAGTAGTCGTGTCCTGCAGCTCGCTTTCGCGCTGTACTTAGCAAGGCATACCATGCTGGATTTGTATAATGATATATATGTAAAGGTAATTATTATTAAATTTAAAGCAGAGAAAGATGAGGCAGTGTCAGCAGCGTATCACCTATGCTAATTAAAATAAATCGTCATTATGGTAGCATGTTGACCG